TAAGTGAAGTGTTATATGTAGGTCTAAATATAATCCAGATAAGTTGAAAAACTAGATGAAGTTTTGTTTTAGAATTTGGAAGATGTGATAAGGATGAGTAAATAAAGAGTTAAGAACGAAAGAGAAAGCAATTAAATCAAAAGGAAATGGATAAGGCGTAGTTAAGGTGAAGAAAAGAGAAAAAAATTAAGAGAGAAAGAGAACTTTTACGTTGGGCGCCAAAATGTCGTAAAGCGACAGTTAAAAACTAAAGAACCTAACCTAACAACAACGAAACAACCAAAAAAATAAAAGTAATTTATTCAAAATTTTAAAAGATAAAAATACTCGTATATGAAAATGATGATGGGGTTTCAAACTAGAAGCATCACGGAGTATGCACAGGCTATGCCTGTGGTAGGTGCGCAGCGCCTGATCTAGGCACACGCAGCGTCTGGAGTAGGCACACGCAGCGCTTGAAGTAGGCACACACAGTGCCCGGACTAGGCACACACAGCGCCCGGAGTAGGCACACGCAGCGTCTGGAGTAGATACACGCAGCGTCTGGAGCAGGTACACGCAGCGCTTGAAGTAGGCAAACACAGCGCCCGGAGTAGGCACAGTCGCAGCGCTCAGAGTAGGCACACACAGCGTCCGGAGTAGGCACACGCAGCGTCTGGAGTAGGTACACGCAGCGTCTGGAGCAGGTGGAGGCGTAGGCGTGGCTAGGCGACGACTTCAGGTGAAGGCAGAGGCTTGCAGGATCCCGGGGCAGTGCGGATAAGGCCTTTAGGAGATGCTTCTAGTATGAAAGCTGAAGCGAGACTTTTTCTTTATTGGCCGATTGTTCGGCTTTTATACTTTTTGACGGATCTGGGATAAGAACGGGAAATTATTTAAATTAAATTTGAAATTATTTAAATTAAAAGCAAATTTTTGTAAATAGCCAAGAGGAAAAGAGTATTTAAATGAAAGTATGGAGTAAAAACATCAGACCGGTAACGAATTTCGAATAAAAAATGCCATGACAACCAGATAAACAATGATGTCAAAACATGTCAAATTTTGGTTTTAGGCTCGTAATAGAGAAACGGCAAGATTTAAGTGAAAAATGAGATATTATTGTTATAGGAAAAAAGGTAGCGCAACAGTGCGCACGAAGCCCGAAATTGCAGAGTTACGGAGAACTAAATAAAAGATCGAAAAAGGTAGACTCCATTGACACCGATTTAAAAAGTGCTGATAGCGTGAAAATACGAAGTGAAAATGATTTGTTATTGTGTTCTTATGGTTTAAAAACGTTACAGGATCCTATGGAAATAAAGGTGATGCAAAATATCCAGTTTTGAGGCGAATGCAGAAAATCAAAAACAGAATGGAAAAATAAATTTAAAATAGTGTAAAATGATATGTAAATGTAAGTAGCATAACACTACAATATATATATACAATATGTAACGTAATTAACGCACACCCTCAGACACCCCAATTAGTATATTATGTTATAATCATAATACATACACTGAATTTTTAGTTAAACATTTTTATGCACTGATTATTTATCAAATTAGTTATACTAATTCCGGAAGAATGTTGTGATCACAGTACAAATTCACGAACGCAAGGACTTTAACGTGCTTGAAATAAAGTTCATTTTTCTTTATTTTTATTGAATGACAGAATTAGTAATAATACAAATTACTGCACTCTTAAAAGTCTTATTGCCTTATGTTACGGTCCATTTCAGTTTGTTTTGACTGTACAGATTTAGTGTGACTGTAATTTACTTAGTTTTAATTATCTTTGGGATAAAAATTACCTATATTAAAATGATAGGAATCGATTCAGTAAAACTTTCTCAAAGTGCGTTAATTATGTTACATTTGTATATATATATATTTACGCGCACACTATACATTGAATTTTATTTTATTTATTATTTATTTTTTAATATATTATTACATTCATTAATTACACCTTACGTTACGTTACAATCATAAGTTTATAGAAACTTTACCCGTATCACCGACAACAACAAATATGAGGGTGTAGTAAGAAAAAAGAAATACACTTAGTATTTATTAGTTAACTGCGTGATCTTCTATTGCATAATGCACCGTGCATCATCATCATCATCATTACAGCCCTTCACAAGTCCACTGCTGAACGTAGACCTCCCCCAAGCAACGCCACAAAGCACGGTCCTGGGCCACCTGCATCCATCGACTTCCTGCATGTCTTACCAGGTCGTCACTCCATCTAGTGGGGGGTCGCCCAACACTACGCCTTCCGGTACGAGGCTGCCACTCGATGGGGAAGAAAGGTTCTCGAGTGGCAGCCTCGTACTCAAGTGGCAGCCTCGCACCGTGCATGGATCCTGTATATTGTACAGGGCGCTTGTTTTAGGGCGTTTTCGCAGTCTTTATTATTAAAATATATTATGTATAATTTAAATTAGTAGTAATGCGGAATGCATTTACATTGCATAAAGTAATTTTTTGATTTTAATTTAATATTTTTTTGGTTCAGTTCTGATTTTACAGATACTGGTAGCTGGTTAATTAGGTTAGGGATCATATATTCTAAGGTACGTTTACCATATAAATTATTGTATTTAGGTAAGGCTAGTTTAGGTTTTCTAGAGTTACAAGTTTTAGAATATTCACGTGTATAGACAATTTTTAATTGTTCATGGAAAAATTCTTCTATAAGAAGGGTAAACTTTACCTTTTCGTGTATAGGTATAATTTTAAAATGACTAAAAAGATTATGGTAATTTGATTCTTTATATTGTTTTTAATACCGTCCGGGACTATAGTTTTTAAAATACGTAACTGTAGTAGATAAATACGTTATAAATGTGATCAGTACGTTCTGCCATAGCTAGACAAACCATATGCCACTTTTGACTCTACCAGTGATTTATATAGCCGTATAAGAATTTTATACGGAATTTTACATTTAATTATAGAAAAATTTGCAAGCATACCACGAAGTTTATCATATATACGGATATTAACGCGATAAAATCCGTATATAAAACTATATATATGGATTTTATCGCGCTAAATAACTCATGGTCACGGGGGGGGGGGGGTTTGACGTCTCATTGTCATAGTTAGCCCGGCTGCCTTCAATTTTTGAATATTGATATTTGGTCTGATCTACATAGAACAAGCTTACAGTATCTTGAAGTCTTGCAGTAGTATGCTTGGGTTTGGGTAGATTTTGAGATCCATCGACTGTGGCCGGCTTCACTCGGTAGCCGTGACGTAGGCGTGGGAAACAAACCTTGTTGTCTTGCAATACTTGATTGACGTGTTGAAGCTCGGTGGCCAGATGTTTTCTGTCACAGATCCCTTGTGCTCTCTGAAACAAAGATTTAATTCACCATTTAAATATCGGTTGGTATGGAGCTTTTTCATATACATAATGTGACCAATAGTTTTATCAGGATTACGGATGACTAAAACATCTAGGAAAGCTAAAGAATTATTTGCCTCTAACTCCATTGTGAGTTGTATTTTAGAGTTTATGGAGTTAAGGTGGTCCAAAAATGCAGTTGCTCTATCAGATGGTAAAATTATGAAAGTGTCGTAGCGCTTGTGGAATCTCGAATTTATAGCAGCAGTAAGAAGGGGTTTCTGCTCAAAGATCTCCATAAATATGTCGGCGACTATAGGAAATACAGGTGAGCCCATCGCCATATTATCATTTTGCTTGTAGAACTCTTCCTTCGTGTGAATCCTTTGTTTGTGCTCTGGTACGAGTGTCCTCTCGGTGGCGACAATATTTTTGCCAAGTGTTGAGCATAGCTATATATATATAGCTATTTGTGGTGGGAAACCATTGGTCCCCTCGACAAGTAGCGTCGATCCATATCTTTTTCCTTTCGGAGAATTTATGAATCCTAAAAAATATAGGTAACACAATGATACACCACTATTTTTATAAAATAATGACTTTAAAAAATATTAATTATGACTAAACAAATATCTACTTATAAATCACAACGTTAGACAAAGACAACTACTGTAATTTATGTAATGAGTGAAAGGGACATTTCAAAAAGACATCAACGGGTGCTTATTGCTTAATTGTTATCACTTTGCACCATTCTTTTACCAGTAAAAGATGAACTCTGGTGTATTTGAAATAGGTTAACGTGATATGAATAGAATTTACTTACCGATGAAATGTTATGTCATCATTTTGATAATTTTTTTTTGGTCGTCGTCGTGCGTCTTTGTAGTTAACATCTGTGACAGTTTGCTCCGCATATAAATAAGTGCATTGTAGTTAAAAGTAAATTACTAGTGTATATTTTGTAATTATCTTAAAGTTTTTGATTTGGGCTATCTAGTAGTGAAATCAGTTTTTCATTTCGCGTTGTAACATTTAAGTTATAAGCAAATACATTTCAAAAAATTGTTTTCGGCCGTTACGTACTGACCTACGACAACCCACAGCGCGTTCGCTGCTGTGAGTCACCGACACCCGTTGCTGGTCGGCCGCCGCGCCGTTGAGTGCACCAAGCTGTGCTGTGGTCTAGATGACGTCACGCCAAGTAAACTGCGCAGGATGCCGCGGTGTTATTATGGAAGACATCAGAATTTAAAAAGATGTGGATATGTTTCGAATGCCGTAGCAAAATACCTAAGCTTGATAATTCACATACGCCAGTGCGCCAGCAGTTGAGCCATGATACGACTGCCATTGATGATTGTTTGGATGTATCAATGCATTGATACATCCAAACAATCATACCCCAGATAATATCACGTTTCGAAACGGGAAACATCCTGCGCAATTAGTGGCGATGAAATGTGACCCTTGTCCCCAAAACATGGCCCCTATAGTACAAGAAATAAAGCAAATGCAGGACGAATTCGAATCGCGCCTTACCATGAAAATTTTCGCACTACTCAACGAGCAATTTAATGAATTTAAGACTTCGGTATTTGAAAAAAATTTGCAATTTAACCAATAAGATTGACAAATTAGAAAAAATAATCCTAAAAATGGACAAAGATAATAGTGCATCCACGCAGGGATATGCAGCGGCGGTACAGCACCCATTGAACCTAGATAATGGGAAGACTAAGCCGAAAGTAAAATCTGGCCCTCAGGAGAAAAATAAGGGAGCTTCGGGCAAACCTAATCCACCCGCAAAAGTAAACACACCCATCTCTTCTTTAGCGCCAGTTTCAACTTTAGTCTCTGATTCCAACACTTCGATTTTGAGTGTAAGCCGTGAGACAACTGTTGCTCCCCGGGATGGCGTGGAGCAAAAAGACCCGGAAGATTGGATACAGGTGAGACGTAAAACTGGACGCGCTTCGCTGCCCGGCGTGCTTCGCGGTACTGCAGCGCTGGGGGTGACAAAACTGCGTGCATCTGAGAGATGGGGGTACTTGCATCTCTATTATGTTCAAGAGGGTACCACAGTAGAAGAGGTGCGTGCTCATCTCTACTCTATTAGTGGAAATAATGATTGCACAGTGGAAGAACTGAAAGCAAGGGGACGTTACACATCGTTCAAGCTTGGAGTCCCGTCGAGGATTAGCGAGAGTGTTATGTCACCAAATAATTGGGCTGAAGACATCTGTATAAAACCGTGGCGGCAGAACTTTCGTGCCAAGAAAGAAAGTGCGTAACCTATATTTCTGTTATCAAAACGTTAGAAGTCTACGTACTAAATCGGATACTTTTAGGAATAATGTGTCTCAATGCAACTTTGATGTTATAGCCTTGACCGAAACCTTTTTGAACAGTTCCGTACTTGGATGGCGAATTATTTACTTCAGAATATTTAGTCGTACGTAAAGACCGCACAAGAGACGTCGGGTGGGGAGGAGTGCTCCTTGCTGTACGAAACTGCTATACGGTGCAACAAGTAACTAATGTAGATGCCTATACGTCTGATATGGAACTGCTTTTTGCCATTATTAGTGGAAAAAGTGTTGGAAAGTTTTTATGTTGTGTCGTTTATTTGCCTCCTAAATGTAGTGATAATCTATATCTCAACGTATTGACGTGCATTGAAAATGCTATCATTGCATATTATTCTCTTAATGTCCTAATAATAGGAGATTTTAATTTGAATTCTTGTAGTGTTAATGTGAAGAATAATTTAAATTCATTTTGTGACTATTGTGGGCTTCAGCAACATAATATTGTGTATAACAAATATGATGGCATGTTAGATCTCGTGTTGAGCATTTTAACCCGGAGCTGGTCTTAGTGTCCGAGGGTTCAGATCCCTTAGTACCAATTGATAAGAATCACCCTCCGCTGGAGGTGACGCTTAGGTTTCAGTGCGATGCGCAGGTCAAGTCACCATCCTCTCCACCGCCGGCTCAGAGCCCGGGAGGTGCTCCAAACTGGAATTGGCGTAAAGCAGACTTTCTGGGCCTATACATGGCATTAAAAAGTATAGATTGGTCGGACATGTTTGTAACTACAGACGTTGACGACGCAGTTGCGTTATTCTATCACCGTCTTTATAATTGTATCAGTCAATAGGTTCCAACTAAATCCCCTTACATGCCGAATTATAAGTACGTATATCCAAAATGGTTTTATATGTAATATACGTAAAAAATATTATCATTTGAAACGGTATAAGGCTGAAGGTAAAGAGTTCAACAAGGAATTATTTAAATACTATAGATGGCATGTTAAAAACTTGATTGACAATGCATATAAGCAGCACTTACATCTGACTCAACAAAATATAATTGACGACCCGGCCAAATTCTGGGAGTACGTTAAGAATAGGAAGAATCACAGGCAGCGTATGAACGCTTATTCTTCCAGTGGTGTCGAAGTTGTTGGGCAATCTGCGGCCGACGCTTTTGCGAACTATTTTAGTTCGGTATATCAGAACAAAGTTCCTGAACTGGATCATGATGATACGATACGTGCCGCAGATAGTCAATATGACTCCACCTGTATCACAATAAATACTATTGATAATACCAAGTTGAAGGAAGCAGTAAGGCGGCTAAAACCGAGGTCGTGTGGCCCTGATGGTATCCCTGTTTTTTTAGCAAAGGACTGCATATCCGCTTTCGAGAGTCCACTCCTGTACCTCTTTAATTTGTCACTGACTCAGTATAAGTATCCAGAAATTTGGAAAGTTTCCAGGGTTACTCCGGTTCCAAAAGCTGATGGCGAAAATGACGTTTCGTCTTTTAGACCGATTGCAGTCTTGTCAGTCTTTGCAAAATTATTCGAAACTGTCTTATGTCAGCAAATTAATAAGCAAACTCAAAAATTATTGCATGATAATCAACACGGTTTTCGAACTACCCGTTCTACAACTACCAATCTTGTGTCTCATCTTGACTATGCATATGCTGAATTAGATGCTGGTAGAAAGCATTTGACCTGGTCGACCACGATATCTTGTTGCGTAAATTGGCGGTGATAGGCTTTGCCCCGGCACTCGTCAAGTTTTTTTCAAATTACTTACGCGATCGACGTCGGTTTGTTAAAGTGGGTGCATTTGAGTTTAGTGACTATTACACAAGATCTGGAGTGAGCCAGGGAAGTACGTTGGGGCCTTTGCTCTTTCTTATTTTCATTAATGACTTACTAAATGTTGAGCTTGAAAATAGAATTGCCCCACGGCAGGTAATAATTACCTTTTTATTTTGTAATTTTTTTGTTTTGTCTTGGTATCAATGTTATAGTGAATTTATCACTGCAATTTTGTATTGTTTTCTAAAAGTGTTTCTATTTGCTCCGGTTTAATAATAATTAACCAAAACATTTATATTAAGACAAGGCTGTATGGTTGTTTCAGGCAACTTCAACAGACCATGTTTGTCATCCCTGTTGGCTGAGACTGCCTCCAAATGTCTGTTGTTCGCGGATGATCTCAAGTTAAGCCTAGGTATAGATGACCCGTCTGATTGCGAGTCATTGCAAAGGGACATCGATGCTGTTATGGATTGGAGTATATTAAATCATCTTCCGTTTAATAGTAATAAATGTAAAATAATAACATTCACGCGTAAACGCTGTCCACTAAAAAAAAGAATATAAATTATCTGACACGCCCTTAGTAAGGGTAAGTGAAATTCGTGACTTAGGATTATTGTTAGACGCTAAACTTGACTTTCATAACCATGTGACTACTGTATGTAAAAAGACCAGTAAATTGCTTGGCTTCGTTATTCGCACTTCTTTACAGTTTGATAGATTAGAGGTCGCTTTGGTACTTTACAATGCATATGTTCGTAGTAAGCTTGAGTACGGTGCCATTGTATGGAATCCCTATGAGGAAAAATATATTTTGATGATTGAGAGAATACAGCGCAAATTTGCACGATGGCTATATAAACAGAAATACGGTTACTACCCCTATCTATATCCGTCCTTATTTGTTAATGGTATGGTGGGTTTGGACACGCTTAAACTTAGGCGAACTATGCAGTTGATAACACACTACCTAGCAATCATCCATAATCGTATAGATAGTCCGATGATATTAAGTAGAGTAGGGTTGTTGGCTCCGAAGCGGCTGGGCTGTGATGTGGAGGGGACGGTGGCACCACGGCGGCGTCCTCGCATTCTGTGGCAGCCGCCGGCGCGCACCAGGTACGTCGCTCACGCGCCCACTTCTCGTGCTATACGGCTTATCGGAGACATGCTCGCAGATTATAACGAGAACGATTTATTTGCTGATAGCTTAGGGCAACTGTGTAATAAAGCTTTTCTATTTTTGACATCCCATTTTGACAAATTGTAATATTATTAGTATTCTCTTAATCCTATCTTATGTAATCAACCTGACAATGACATTTTGCTTAACTTTTCTTTTAATAACTATATGGCCCTTGGTATTGTGATAATGTCACAATAATTCTGCCAATGTCCGGTCTTCGGTCTGTCACACCTTGTCTTGAGGCTTTCCGGTGGAAAAGGAGTTAGTGGTTATTAGGTGAGAATGTGGATAAAAACAAAGCAACTAAATATATGAATTGTTTGCTTAACTTATTTGACTTTTAATCTATTTGGCATGTATTTTTTTTTTGGTATTTAGTTGATCTATTAGACATGTATTCTTTAATTTGTTTGACCTTTTGACATGTATCTTGTATTATTACTATTATTTAAAACTGTAATTTGTTAATTAGCATGCTGACGTTTTGGGCAAACTGTAAGCCAGCATGTACATTGTTTTTAAAATATAAATATAAATAAATATAAATATAAATAACTGAATGTTTTACCTGACTTGCCACACTATTTTACTGCACAGGAAGTCATTTGTAATGTATTTTGGATACAAAACTATTTTTAAATTGTCAAGAACTCGGACGTGCCTACGGGTCACAAACTTGGTCGACACTGATATCGTGATTCTTAGCGTTACTTCGTATGCTAGCTACAGCAAGCATGTGTTGCGCGCGTTTGTGGCCCTGTATGCGGAATCTATTAGGGGGTAATCTGTCCATGACTAAAATACCAACCCCAATGAATTCTTTTGTTTTTCTAGATACCAATCTGTTGGAAATAAATTCGATCATAAGCAACCTGTCCAATGATTCTGCCCCAGAATGGGATAAAATTTCTACATTATTTATTAAAATGGTCAGACACACCCTTACACCTATAATTTGCCATATCTGCAATCATTGCTCTAACCGCTCAAGCGTCCAGCCCTCGCGACTGATTTACTCTTGTACGTCTGGATACGCGCGGCCTTAATTCGGCTGCTACCGCGCTTGCATGTTGTATAAATAAAACCCACATAGTTATTTAACTAGAATAGATAGAGTAGAGACAAAAACTACTAAAAATTGACAGAAGAATGCGAATTAAACCTATCTAGTTTTTAAACCCAAAAATGTTATTTAAGATATTAAAAATGGTTGTGAACATTGAATTTGCAGAAAAATAAACGTATAAATTTAATTAATTTACACCTCAACGAAGAAATATTGTATTTGTTACCCATAAAATAAAGTCACAACAATCTAGACGTCTTTTCCTTTTCTATGATGCATATATGTTAATGTTTAATTAGCGTTAGGTAATTAAATAAATCGAAACGAAACACCTACTTCTCGTAATTTTACCGCAATTTCCGAGCGCACACTTCGCACTCTTCATACACACTTTGTAACTTACGCAACTTAAAAAAAGGTAGTTATGAGATTTTTTAAGTTGAGGTTTTAAATTAAACATCAATAATAAAATTAATGTACAGTTTATTGAAATAATAAAAAGAATTATTTTACAAATAATAGTGTTTTATTTTAAACAAAGAATTGATTTAAACTAAATATTTACAAAAAAGGACTAAATGAAAACTAAAATAAATAAATAAAAAATATAAAATTATATGTCATACAACATAAAACAACCATCAATACATAAGTTTTTGTTATATTCCAGGCACTTCCTAATCGTTCTGGCTGTAACATTTCGCTGGGTGCACAACCAACAGCGACTTTGCTTAAAGCCGGTTTTGACTGGGAAATGTCGATGCTCGATTTTAGGTCTGCTGGTCGTAGTTTTCATTGGCCTTTTCGTCAGCCCAGTTCTTGAATTTATAAGTCGTGGTTCTGTCGTGAGGTCAATAGGGCGGTGTAACTTTAGTAGGTATATTTGGATTGGTCGTTTTAAATAAAATGAAACAGTTAAAAATGGCACAGTTAAAGAGACGACGAAACACCTTTTTGTACTAAATTTTATTTCGTATACGTTCCATGGGCTGAGCTGTGTTTCATAACAGCAGCATTAAACTACTATTTTACGAATGTATTCTGTGAGAGTGTGGTCCTTCCCCGGTCAAGCCGATCTATTCGTGCTACAACCATACTATTAATATAACTGCAGCATGGCTCTACCACGTATAATTTTTATATAAAGTGAGAAAAACAAAATATACGAAGGTAGTTTTTATAAAACACAAAAAAAATCTAAAATATCTCCTAACTTGAGATGGTCCACTCCCACCTCCAGTACGAACCCCTTGGCTTCTATGACTTCTACGAGCCAAGTTAGTTTCGGTTGGTGATCTAAAATTGTTGTATGTATTAATTTAAACCATTAATATCATCAAGGAAAAAAAAACAATAATAATGTGTTAAAGAAACATTAAAAATTACGATTATGATTAAGAATCATTATAAATTATTAAGAAATAAAACTCAAAACTAGCACGACCCAAGACTAAGACCGTAAAAAATAACAAAGCAAAACATCTGGCAAACATATTTTGCTGTTTGTACCGACCCTTATTTAGAACTTTTGTCGTTACGTCCGTGGATATAAAACTAGCCACAACAAAAAACCTGAGTAACGCACTAACATTTTTAACTAATCTTCAATGAATATAGTTTATTTCTGTTTGTAAAGTTTATTATTATGTTTATTATTAACACTCGTTTGCTTATATATAATATTGCGCGAATAAGTCAACGTCATGTATCCGGCACTAGCGCCATCTAGTGTCAGGGACGAGAGCGAGGGGAGCTTTCCAGAAAATGACATCACTAATCTTTTAACCGACAGCACCATCTAGTCTCGGAACGAATAACTAAGCTTCTAGATGTCAACACTCGATCTCTCGGCCCCTTGCGCGTGTTTACTTGAATATTCTGGATGTTTCGGTACTAATTTGTATTTATAGGCGCTGCAGGATGCGATCGGGGAGTATTGAATTTGGCGAGACAAGCGAAGCTTCGGAGCAGAATAAAGTGAATCAGTGTGATTAATTATTAGTGTTTTAAGTTTTAATTGGTGTAAAGAAAATTAAAGTGTTAATTTAGGTAATTCTATCGGCAATTTTTATTGTCACGAACCCTAAGCTCGTAACAGTTGGTGTCAGAAGTGGGATTAAATCATGCCAATTTTACCTAAGGAGGAAACGGAGGGTGTCCGTACCCGAAGTCAAGCAGGAGACGGACCAGAGACGATTTGGTGGTGCAACGCCGCAGACGTCAGAGGGCCAACTGCCAGCCACGGAGGATGGCCCGTCAGTAGCTCCTACATCTGCAGCACCTGACTTAGGTGCTCTGATGGTGATGCTGCAGGAACAGGCTCGCCGACAGGAGGAACAGGCTCGCCGATAGGAGGAACAGGCTCGCCGACAGGAGGAACAGGCACGCCGACAGGAGGAACAGGTCCGTCGGTTGGAGGAGCAGCTGCGGGGCGGACAGGATGAACAGGCCCGCCTACAAGAGGAACAAGCCCGTCGGTTGGAAGAGCAGATGCTCCGTATGAAGGATCTTCACGCTACCTTCGGGAAAGAGATACGGGAGGTGAAGGATAAGGTTGCTCAACATGACAACCGCCTGTCGGAAGCTGAAACCCGAACCGACCAAGTAAACAATCGGGTTGACAACGTAATGGCTGACGTGAAGAAAACGCTGGACGACCTCAAACTTGGAGATGGAACAACAGCTCCCATAG